CAACTAAATATAATCTCAATTAAAATATCAACCTCATCAACGACTACATGTTCAAGATTACTACCGATTAGACGTCATTCAATGTCAATATGTTCGTCTAGCACGATTGAGAATAAAGAAAAATCATAAGATAAAATCAAGCGCATTGTCTTGTCTCAAAACTTATAATAGAATACCAACTGTGGAAATAATAATATCAACTTCATCGAGAGTAAAATTTAGAGAATTCTATAAAAAAAATACTCAATTAAATATATAAAAACATGTGTAAGACGTGAACCATGTCAAGTAATGCATAGCTTTTCTACTGTTCGATTTCCGATCAGTAGGAGCCAACGAGGTTAGAAAAAGTCTAGTAAGATAAGCAGACTTTCGGTATCTTCTAATTTTAAAATTTTAACTTTAAATTTTATATATATTGTGCATCAATTATAAATATAACATTGATTTATCGCAATGTTTAATTGACATTGTGTTTTGAAGTTATTTTCAGTTCCATGAAAATCTTTTGAGATAACAGCTTGAACAAAATTATTTTGAAGTAAAATTTAAAATGATGATTGACTACTAATGTCGACAATGATTTCCTAAGTAATTTACATCTGTTTAAACAAAGTCTATTTTTGAAAAAATAATACAGCTATGTTCCAAAAATGAAATAAATCACATGGGAAATAATTTATTTTTCCTAGTTCATATGAAGTTAGGCATTAGCTCTTGTTTTCCATTATTTTTTTCTATATTTCAATTAAACCAACATGAAATAGATGACAATAGAATTTTTAATAATAATCGTATTTGATATATTTTTGTAACAACAAAATATTTCCACTATTAGACTTTTTCCAATCGCACTGGATTCAAGTTATGGGGAAAATATCAGTGGAGAAGCTCTGAACTACTTAAAGTGGTTCTCTCACGTAACGATAAAACCAGTTAGTTTATCTGTATTAACTCGAATTAAAGTTTGTATTCGCACATTTAATTGATTAAATACTTGTAATATTGTTCTAAAAAGAAAGTTTTCTTTTCTAAAACAAAACAAGCATGTCTTATTGTTCTCTCACTTCAATCTGAACGACTAATTCTCTAGTTAGTGCAAGAATAATTGCAAATGGTGTATTTTCTATTTTCATTAAACTATTTGATGATTTCTAACGAACAACTGATTCAATAAAAGATTCAACATATGCAAATGTTTTTCGACCATCTTTTTAAACAAAGAAATGTATTTAGAATAATGATAAAATATTGTTTTTCTAATCAATTTCAGCTGCTATAATCATATGACGATTTGCTCGTAACTGTGAAATAAGACGTGATTGAGTTGAAGTTGGATTATGAATATTTTCTTTTTTAAGAATTTCTATAAGTGTTCTAGTTTACAGGCAACTTATTCAATTGTTTGAACAGTGGATTAAGTCCCTGATGGATTTTTCAAAATGATGATCAATAGAAAAAAAGTCACCTTTTCATAACCGATATTGTCAACCATCGGAAGCAAAATGTTTTTCAGTCATCTGCCGATATTCACGAGCTGTAAAAAAAAAAGTTTTTCTTTAAAAAAAATCTAATCGTACAATTTTCTATGAGTATCTAAAGGAGTTGATTTCATCATATTCAACAAATTCCAATGAAAACAATATGATTGTTTTAAACTCAACGTAATCGATCAATTCTTTTTCAATCGTTTATGTAAACAAGATGAAAATGAAAGTGTTGAATGAACTATTTTCATAATAAACAAGAAGATTTTAACAACAACTCTCTCAATTCTTAATTTATGCATTTATTACACATTACACTTGAAGTTTTTGTTCTATTTTTCAAGAATCTGTCGATTGGGCGTAGGTTTGGACGTGGATGTGGGTGTGGGTGTTTGTGTGACTCTCTTCCTCTACACCCACCCATAACCACACCCACATCCACATCTACACCCACACCCCAACAGTTAGCATATACACAATGACTCTTCTCTTAGATAGAATTGCTTGCAATTTGAATAGTTCGACTTTTTTCAATCCTTACTTTTTTTGAATAAGTTTTTTGCCAATGGACTTGAACCATTCCTTGGAATATGCTTAGATTCAATTCTATGCAGAATAATTAATTTTTATTTTATGATAATGTGTGATGAATTGATACATAATAAATAGATTTCATTTCTGCATATGGAATTAGCTGCCATACAATATATGCCTATCGAAGAACTATTATTCAAAAATGTGACATTATCTCTAGAATTTTTATTTATTACAATAAAATTAATATTTATAACGAAAGAAGAAGTTTATTTGTAACTTGTTCAATAACATCCCAAGCAAATTGAACATGTTTTTCATCCGCTAACCATGAACATATAGCTAAACGTAAAATATATTTTTGTTTAACCATTGATGGTACAAGATAAATACGTTTATCATCATGTAATGCTTTTAATAAACGTTCATTCAATTCATTTGAACTATTTTTTAATCGAAAACATACGAGACCAAGTTGTTCAGCAGCTGGAAAGACAATTTCAAAACGATCATCTTTACTAATTAAACTAATAAAATAATCAGCTAATTGAATATGTTTACGAATATAAGCTCGTAATCCATCTAAACCAAATGTACGAAAAACAAACCTTAAAATAAAAATAATTTAGAGAAAAGATTTTTCTTTTTTTTTGTAACTAACATACCAAAGTTTAAGTGATCGAAATCGTCGTCCTAATGGAATTTGCCAATGTCGATAATCAGGTGCTGATGATTGAAATGCATGTTTTAAATAAAGTGGATCAACATTAAAAGCATCAATGAAATGTGTACGATCTTTAAGATACATTGCTGAATAATCAAAATTAACTAACATCCATTTATGTGGATTAAAATTAAATGATTCAGCATATTCAATACCATTTAATAAATGTCGATATTCGGGACAAATAAAAGCATTTCCAGCATAAGCTGCATCAATATGCATCCATAAATGTTCTTTTTCACATACACGTCCAACACTAATCAAATCATCAAAAGCACACTAGAATCATCATAAACAAAAAAAAAGAAAAGCAGAATTATTTTTCATTTTTATCAATTGATATTTACTGTTGGAGTTGTACCAAGAGTAGCAACTATAAAGAATGGTATTAAGCCTTGTGCACGGTCTTCAGCAATAGCTATTTCAATTTGTTCTCCACGCATAACGCAATCTAGATCTGAAGCAATTTTACGTAATCGACAACCAAGAATTAATGCAGCTTTATCAACTGATGAATGAGCTTGATCAGAACAATAAATAATTAATTGATCAAGTAAACGGCCAAGAGTTAATGTTGGATCTTCAGCTTTTTTTTCTCCAAAAATTCTTGAACGAGCTGCAAGTAAAGCTACAAGTGTAGCTTCACTAGCTGTACCTATTTCATTCAAATAATAAATGTTTGTTTCTTATTAATCTGTATGTCTTTTTTACTAGAAAAATTTACCTTGAATTATTCCACCACCATTTCCAGTTGAAAGAAAAAATTCCGGTAAACTCATAGCTTTTGCTAACCAATCCATAACAATTGCTTCAAGTTCTGTACATGCTGGTGATGCTATCCATGAAAAACCAATACAAGCAATACCGCCAGATAATATATCTGCACAAATAGCTGGATATGATGCAGCTGTTGGAAAATAAGCATAAAAATTTGGACTATGCCAATGTGTAACACCCGGCATAATTGTTGATTCAAGATCATTTATTATTGATGAAAATGATTCGGCTTGTTCTGGTGCTTGAGCAGGTAATAATTGACGTAAATAACCTGGTTGTACATTTGCAACAACAGGATGTTTTTCAATTGAACGCCAATATTCAGCAACAAATTGAAGTGTCATTGCTCCACATGATATAAGTGCATCAGCATCCATCTTTTTCCTTTTTTTTGTCTACAATAAAATTAAAATGCAATGAACCAAAAAAAAAGTCAGTTTTAAACATGTTTTTTGTTAAATGCAGAAAACCTATTTGTTATGCTCATATAGGAAGAATATTCTTTGATCGAACACAGGAAAACGATTAATTTATAGAAGCAAAGAAAAAAAAACTAGGAAGGAAACGACTCCTACTATTGTCGCCTTTATGCAGTGATTGATGAATAACAGAACTTTTGTCATTTTTCTTTATGCTTTCTTCTATTGAACGTTGTTCTCGAATAACGTTCATTTATAATCATGAGACGTCAAATCGGACATCTCATTTAAAAGTCTAATAGATCGTACATTATGATTACTCAATGTTCAAAACGTTTATCATACAGTCACTCATCTCTTATTTTCTTAATGATTACATTGGAGAGGAGTATACTTATTATAGGTTTCTTTCTAATTTAATATTCGTTTTCTGCTTCATTAGTCATATTTAAAAGAAACCAACAAATATTAAGCGCGCATGCGTAAAATTATACATGTTATTTTCATATTATTTGTTCGTAGTTTTTTTTTTATTTATACATAATATTGTTTGCTTTTTAAATATATTTACACGATCTGCATCAAGTCAATTAAAAGAAAAATGTGGTCATAGTATTCTATTAAATAATAATTATTGGTTATTAAAACAAACCCATCTTGCATTAAAAGCTATACATAATAAAGAATTAACATTTGATGTTTTACCATGGAATCGACTTTCAATATCTATTCAACAAATCTATAATGCTTGTTTAGTTGATGATATGAAACATTTAAGAGAAAGAATGTACATTCATAAAGCAACATTAAAAGCAGGTACTCTAGTTGCTAAAAAAGTAACAGATATCAGCCATCCAACATTGATTAATATTGTGAAGAAATGATATCTATTATTTAACTATACGAAAAAAAAAGAACAAAAAACGATAGTTACACAGTACATTAGATAAGAATGATCAATATTAGACAAATAGAAATAAAAAGATTTTTTTCTCATAGGCATCTAATAAAAATAGTAGTGTCAGTATTTTATTCGTCATGTTAAAATTTGATATGCAAGATGATGAGTAAAAAGTTTTATTTAAATATATTCGAATCGAAAGAGATAAGAATTTATGAATTGGATACTCATGAAAAGCAAAGATAAGAAAAAAGAACAACAAGCAATGATAAAATATGATATATTCAATGTGGAGACCGAGGGGAGCAATAACCCTTCTAGAATTTGTCGTTATTATATCATATACTAGGTGCCTATGGTCCAAAAAAAAATAGATGCTTGTCCTTCCGAAATTTTAAATCACCACTCCGAAAGAGAAAATCTGAATAAAACACTGATTCCACGAATATTGTTATATTCTTTTTGAATAATCTAAAATGAAAATAATTCTTTTAATAGCTTATTTATACAAATAATGATTCCGAACCCTAGTTTTTTTTTTAATTTTTCATTAAAATATTATTTTATTAATTATAAAAAAAAACTTCTTATAAGTAGAAAAACCAAAATAGGTTTAACATTATTTTGATAATAAAATAAAGCATAACATAATAATTATTGTTAATAGAGAAGTTTGCTTTATTATTCCCTTATCTTTTATTAGATCAGGATCTTCCATTTTTTTACATACTAAACCTTTTTTATAACACTTTTTAAATTCCTGAACAATACGATTATCATTTTCAATAAGTTGTCGTCGTTCTCGACTTGTTGTAATATGCATTTGATGAACATGTAATGCTTGTGTAACATTTATTGTTGCTAGTGCTAAACAATCAAACATACATTCATCAATAAAATCATTTTCATTTAATAAACAAATATGTTCGCATTGTTGTGGTAATTGTGATTCATTTAAACTTATTTCACGACGTTGACGTGTTGCAACAACAGAAACTTGTCGTTGACTTTGTGCAAAACGTTCTTTTAAACGTGTAATTATTGCTTGTCGATCAATAATTTCATTTTGTGGACAACCTGTTATTAAATATCCATCAGAATTATCTAATAATAATTCAGATGAACGAACAAGAAAAAAATAAAATTTTGACCACATATTAACTATTATTTCTGTTGATGTAGGAATATGAATTAATGTTACATGACCTTGATTTGAATGTTTTTCACTATGATCAATTTTTATAATTGATGGTGATAATGAATCAAGATAGATTAATTCTAATGGTAATTTTCCATTTAATACTCGATAATATGCAATTAAACTACCATCTGAATTAAAAAAATCAATTTGTAAAGATGTTATTGCTGTAGCCGTTAATTCTGGATCACCGACATATTTCGATACACCAGTTATTTTAAAATGAGGATTAGATATATATGTACGATTGTTCAATAATTTGCATGTTATTGCTTTGGTTGTACGAAGTGCAATAATATGTGGATCACCTAAGACAAAAATAACGCTCATTATCTAAATTTAAATAAATCTTCTAATAGACTAACAATTGACAAAGCTTGAATCAATAGTGTGTGTAAATCTCGTTTTAAACTATTAAGAGAGATTTTTCGAAAAACAAAATGACCATTTTACTATTTCAATCAGGGCTCTCAATTAGGAGGCTCCAATCAAAATGTCTGACTTTTTGCCAAGTTTTCACAGCTTCGCGGTAATTTTGAAGAAGCATCATTTACGTTTCCCTTTTTCTCTGTTGGAAGAGAGCTTGGACTACGATGAGCTTCTTTCTTCTTCCTCCCCCTCCGGCCCATATTTTTTTGTTTTAATAAAATGTTTCCCATCCCCAGAAACTATGTACAATCCTGATCTGAATAGTTCTGATTCGAAAGAACAGTAAATCTATTAAAATAAGAGACTGATGAACTATTACGCATAATTAGAAACTATTTTCTCATGCTATGTAATTCAATATGTGACATGTATTTATGAATGCAAATGTAAGTCTAAAACTGTTTAGATTGGCAAACAACATGCGAAACATTGTAGTTTCTTCTGACATCTAATAAATCATAAAGAAGGCATCGTGCGACTATCGATCATAGCTTTCATGTCTTCAAGGTTTTTCATAATAAATAATAAATTCTTATAAGAATACGGCAGTTTTCTTCAATGAAGAAATGAAAGACTGGAAAGGGAGGAACGAAGTTTTCTTTTTTGTATATCAATAAATACTTATACCATGAATAGATGACGTAGCACGTTTTGATTGTGCGAATCCTTCAACATTTTGACTTGGTAATTTTTGTCTAACAATTTTTGTGATATTTAATGATGTTGGTGTTGCTAAATCATGTTTATCAGGTACAGCTAATAATTCTTTAAAAACAAATACTTCTTTTGTTGCTGTTGGACAATTTGTCGGAATTGAATTATAAATACATCGAAGAAAATCTTCTGACCATTTCGTTATTTCATTTAATGATGCTTTTGTTTGTAGTATTATTTGAATATTTTGTTTAAATGTTCTTAAACATTCTTTATGTTTTGTTAAAGTTGTTTTTGTTAAACAATTTAATAATGAACGATCAAATTGTTGTAAAAAGTGATCTAAAACAAAATAGAATAATTCATTTTAATAAGTAAAAACCAAATCCTTGGATCATACTTGAAAGTTTATTTCCATCACAAAATGGTATTAAATTTTGTAAATAATGATTATCATCATAAACTTTTGCATCATAATCAAAATATTCTAATGGTAATTGATAACTTTCAATTAAATTTAATATATGTCGATTAAAACCAGGCCGTACAACATCGCAATTTTTTAATTTTGTTTCTAAACATTGTTTTATATCTTGATATATACGACAATGTGCATTATAAAATTCGACATTATCCATTGAATAATTTAAAAAACCAGCTGAATCAGAATCGAAACATATTTTCGGTAATGAATCGCGAACAAAATCAATCATTGATGGTGTATGACAATCACTATCATCAGCTTGAAGAAAAATATTTATTTGTAAAAATAAGAAAATAATATTCGTGAAAAACCACATTGCTTTCAATGAAAAAATTTTCTGCTATAATTAAATATGTATCTATGCTAAAACAAAAAAAAAAGAAAAGAAATATTGTTGACAGTTACCGATTATTCATGCATGTTTTTTGTACCCGACATAGTGCTTTTTCCTTTACCACGATAGCATAAAAAAGATAAATAGGCCATCGATATGAAACAAAAATAAAGAAGACAACATAGACCTCTTCTTCCCGAGTATTATTATTTTTTCTTTTATGGAACACATATATATACATATATATATATATAGAGAGAGAGAGGAAAACATCAGAAGGATTTTTATTGATTGATTGATTGTGAGAAATACTCTAAAGATTATTGATGTTTACTTGAAATTATTGATACAGAAGATTGCAAAATGATTTTTTTTTCATTTGTCATAAATTGTTGACATATTCACATTGTGTTCGTCGGAAATGAGAAATATTCCATTTATTTATTTTTTTGACAAATATTAAATAATTAAGAAAGATAAATTATTTCCTGATATCCTTTAGAATTTACTAGATACAATAGACTTGTTTTTGACAGTGAAGAAACTTTTTGATTCAAAATTAGTTTCAAGAATATTGTTTTACACAAAATTATCTATTCATTATCAATCTTATAATATGGGAAGGCCTGCTTTTCTTGTTCCTGTATATCAAACAACACATGACTGGAAGCATGTATAAAGAAAGTGTTGGATAATAAACTAGATCAGAGTTCTAAGTGTTTTCTCATATGTTGAATTAGTTTATTAAACAAAGTAATTGAGAAATGACTTGTGAATGAAATGTTGACAAAATATTTTAATATAATACCGTTTAACAGAAACAAAGTTTCCTTACATATAATACAGAAAAACCTAAAAATAAGCAAGATTTTAAAAAAGACTTGATGTCACAGCATAGACGTCGAAGAAAACTGTTATATGCTCTATCAGATACTAGTTAATAGATCCAATGAAGCATCAGTTTAAGAGACCTTTAAAAAGTTGTCCAATCTCGAATCCATGAAAGATCAAGTTGTTCGTCTAGAAAAAAAAAGAAACTGGGTGTTCGAAAGTTCTCTTCCCCGGTTACTTACATTTGATCTTATCAAGCATGTTTAGTTTTGGTTCTGAGAAAATATTTCTGAGTGGTAAAATGTTAAGCAGTAGGAAGCATATTTATCCGGAAAAGATTACATAAACTAAGCCATTTAAATAAGAAATATGTGGCGAAACCTTCGAAAGATATATCGAAAATGTTGCTACTTAGTAATACAGTTTTTTAAAGCACTGTTTTATTTTTTATTGTTTTCAACATCTAGCTTGCAATGTTTTACGTGATCATAAATATCACGAGAAACCTAATGTTATACCATACACATGATTCTAGCCTCGTGGGATCAAAATATTCTCTACGGTATATACTGAAACATTTTGTCCGTATTTACATATACCAGGACATTTAGCATATATTTTGCGATTTTCTCACGAGCGGTATATTTGATTGAGTATAATTTCTTTTTATTTCAGTCAGGCGATACTTAGGGGGAAAATGACACAAGTTTTCAAATCAAAGGAGCAATGTCTCTTTGAGATATTTACTTGAGAACTTTGTCCGTATAGCGAAACAAAAGTATATGAACAAAGAGTTACTTTTGTTCGAAAATAATTATTGCAATTGAAGTCTGTATTTTTTTTTTTATTAGTATCTGTTCTAAATTCCGCTCTATTGTCTGAAGAAGAGGTGGAATTTTTATGTTGTTCTACAAAAGAAAAAAAAAATGACATAGGATATAACAAGACATGATTTGTTGAATGCGTCTATAACAAAGGATTCTCGTGAGACTATAGTTCAAACATGAAATTTTCATTTTTGAAACAAAAAACAATTGGATTGGTAGTCAAATAGTAGCATCATTTTAACACATTTTAAGTTTTTCAAGTCTTAAAAGTATCGAAAAACGTATAATTAAACCACAATTATTCTCAATATACACCTTGAAACATGACAATATCATAGATGTGCAGTTTCTTGTGTCAAACTTCTTTGCATGTTATGAACATTAAAGAAAAATTGTTTTGAGTGTCAAAGTGCCTATTTAGATAAGAGTATTCTGAAGAGCAAAAAATATTTGTTTTTCTAGGGGCCACCATGGTTGAGTGATTACGCTGTTTGGCATATATTCACAAGGTGCTCTGTACAGACCTTGGCATCACTAAGCATGAAATGATCTTCAATAAGTCATGGATGACTGTTCGTTTTGGATCACTCATCTGATAGCGTGATCGTGTTTATGAGAAATTCAAGTGATCGAGTGCAAGAAATCTGCATCAGATTGGCTTTCTATCTAAAGCAATAGCTAGTATTACTTATAGAGAAGTTATCGAGCTACTGACTCTGTCACTTGTTAGTCGAAAATCAGAGTTACTCATCGTTGATTTTCTTGTCAAAATGACATCCAGGATAGACATAATAAATATACTTAAAAAACATTTGTTTTTAAATGTATGAAACTTTTTCACGAAATCTTATCATTCTTTATTACTGTCTATAATTAAATATAATATTTAAAAAGAATTGAATATTTATATAAAAATCATATATTTTATTTCATCCTTGTTGCAGTATATTGAAAGGTTTTAGATAAAATCCACGGATTTATTCAATAAAATATACAAAAATCATATGAACTCAAAAATCTGTCATATTTTTTTTGTATTTAACTTTCATGATATTAATTTTTTTGACAAATGACATTGCTGATAAAAAAGTAAAGTCATCAAATTGATATAATCTTTTAATTAAATTTAAAGCAAATCTTAATATTCATCATCATGGTTTTTTTAAAAGCCAATCGTTATCATCTGATAAAACTTTTTTTTTCTGATCAAGTAGACTACATATTTCAAGAACAAGTTCGATTTTATTTTAGAAATTTTTCTTTTTTTCTTTATTTAATGCTTATAATTCAATCGATTAATATTTATGATAAATGTCTAACGTGTATACATAGCGACATGTGTGTTGTCAAATTTAATAGATGCACACAAATGAAAAATTTGCTTGATGAAAGCAAGAAGAAAAATGAATTCAAATCTATTAAAAATGAAATAAATAAAAAGAACAAGACAGAAAAAAAAATTATTGTATGGGAATAGTTAAAAGAAGACGAGTAAACGTCTAATTCTAAGAAACAAAAAAAAAAGCTAAGAGAAAAGTATAAGAGAAATAATTGAGAGAAAAAAAAATCAAATTTTACAACAATAAAAAGAGAATGAAACACTTTTTATTTTTATTTTTATTTATAAGCAATGAAATAACGGAAATATTAGTTGAATTATTATAAATGTAAAATGGAAAGAAAAAAAGAAAAGAAAAATGAAACATTAAATAAGACTGATTGAGTGCCTTATTTTTGTATTTGAGAGCAATATATATTCGTCTCTACATTGACAGAAAAACAATAGCACATTAGATATCCTCGACTTCCATTCTCGCGATCAATTGAATGATGAATATAGTCTTTAATCATCATATGAACGAGTTGGTTGTCTAAAACAGAAAGAAAAAGCAATGGCATTAAAATGACTTTGACAGAGATTGAGTCTGCGACCTTTCGCATGTAAAGCGAATGTGATCCATCATTACTCTACAAAGTTTATAAGTTACAGTCCATTAGGTTCAAACTTTTCAGATCTAGACCTGCTCAATTAAAATTTTTCGGACTCGGACTCAATTTGTTAACTATTTTTTGGAATCCAAACCTGAACTCAATGCCGATTTATTGAATATTTTTTGGACTCGAATCCAGTTGGATCGTACTTTTGATACGATCAATGAAATTTTCTAATCGACATTGGATACTTTCTCCTGAGGATACGAGATACTTCTTTCCGGTGTTTTTGTGTTCCGTGACTAGCGCACCCTATATATTTTTCATCCGACGGGCTCTACTGTAAATGTAAAACTAATCTCATATGAAAAGAAAAACATTTTATTTACCGATTTTCGATGATTATTATCATATAATGAACGACGTGAAAAAGATGGTGAATTGGAATAAATAGATTCAGATGATGAAGTACTACTACGACTGCGTCGACTTGTTGAACGATATCGATTATTATTATTTGTCTTTCGCTGATGATAATAATTGGAATATTTTTGATTACTATTATTATCTTCTGGAATATATTTAACTTTCATTGGAACTGTTGTTGGTTTACCACGATTAATATAAAAACGTTCAAATGCATCAAGAATTTTTTCTGCTGAACGATTTTGTTTTTCTTGTTGACGACGTTCATCCTCCTCCTCATCATCATCAAATAATTCATTATTATTCGATTGATTATAATTTTGATTTGGTAAGACACGTTGATGAGGATTAATAAATTGTTGTTGCTGTTGTTGTTGTTGTTGATATGGATCGCCTGGATAAATAATATTACCAACAGCTGGAAAACGTGGTGGTGGGCCACGAATTTGTTGTCCTTGAGGTGGTAAAACACCTTGTTGATATATAAATTGTTGTTGTTGACTGTTTAATTGTGTTCGGCCTACTTGTGGAACAGGTGGAGGTGGTGCTGGTACAGATGCTGGTGCTGGTACGACAGGTGGTATTTGTGTTGGTACAGGTGCAGGTACTGGTGCTTGCTGTTGAGGTGGAATATCAACAAATCCTTGACGACTATTAAAACGAGCTGCAGCTGCATGTGCTAATTGTGCAGCTGTTTCTTCACGTGTATTTTTTGATATTGAAGATCTAGGTTCTACTTCAAGCGTTTGATGATCATCGATTTGTGTACTTGAAAAATAAAAAAAAACGAATTGAGAAAAATAAACAACAACATAAATTATTATTTTTATACTAAAATACTTACAATTGATGTGCGTCTGATGTTGGTTGATTTTGATTTTGACCAGATGTTATACCAGTTGTTGAATCTTGTTGAAAATGTTGTTGTTCATGTTGTGAACTCATGGTACTAGGTGTACGATGCCGATGTTTTTTTGATGAAGAATCATGAAAAGCTTCACTTGTAGTATTATTTAATTCAACAATAACTGGTGTTTCTCTTGGTGATCCACTACTAGTAGGCTTTGATCGATGATGAGAACGAATCATTTCATCTTGATTATAATTATCTTGTCCTTCTGTTGCTTCATTCTTATTTAATGTTGTCTTATGAAGCTTTCGTTGTAATTTATATATTTCACCTTCTAATGTACGAATACGTTGGCGTAAATGTTGAACTTCTTGTTCACTTGAACCATACGTAGCATTTATATTTGACCATGGTTGTAAAGCATTAAAAGGTGCAGAACCAGGTGTAGAACCATAATAATTCGGTGGAACTTGTTGAACACCATAAGGTTGATATGGATTAAATGGTGGACGAATACCACTGAATGGTTGTTGAGGATATCCAGAATTAGTAGGACCAAATGGATATGCTTGCTGTTGTTGTTGTTGCACTAGTGGAGGCTGAGATTTTTGATCATCTTCATGAGGAAATAATTGTTGTTTAGCTTCAGGTGGCAAACGTGTTGAGCGTTTAGCATATTTACGAGAAACATCACCACGTCGAATAGATTCTTCATAAGCTTGATTATAACCAGTATAAAGTGGTTGACGATGAACCTATAAATTGAAATGGTTTTTTTTTTATTGAATTATTATGTTTTATAGTACAATGAGTTACCTTTAATTGTGGAGGTAATTCACTATGATATTCTCCAACGTAAGTTTGGTGTTGAGTAAACTGTTGTGATTGATATGGTTGTTGATAAAGATTAGTATCCAGTAGAACACTTTGCGGTGGTGGAATACTATAAGTATCATGATGTTCTCGACGATGATGTTTTTTTTTCTTTGAACTTGATTTTTGCTTGTTACTTTCTACATCGGCTTGCGCTTCCTCAGATCTTGCTACTCCTCCTTGTGTTGCATCATTATGAGTGCCTTCAGCTAGTTCAGATTGTTGTTGATGATGATCAATATTACCAGTTCCTTCTTGTTTCGAGTGAGTGGCTAATACAGGCGAGTGGCTTCGACTACGTAATTGTTGTTCTTGTGATTGTTCATGACGTTGTTGTTCATGATCAGAATATAAACCTTGTTCAACAAGAGCACTTGGTGAAAGACTTTGTCGTTTATGATGTTTTTTACCTAATTTATTCAATAAAAAAAAATCTTTGATACAATTAAACGCACATACTTTTTGATCCATGTCTACTACGTTGTCCGTAATGTTGAGATGAAGCTGGTGGTGGATGTTGACTATGTTTTTGACGTCGAGACGATGATGATAAAGGAGGTGGTACATAAGTACTAGTTGGTGGTGGATATTGTCTACCTGATGCTGGTAATGATTGACCACGTGGTGGTGGTGGAGCTTGTTGAAAATGTGTTACAACTTGAGGATTAAATCCAGCAAAACCAGCTAATTGAGATTGATAAAGTGATGCCGATAGTTGTTGACCAGGAAATGGAAAACCGATCGAAGCTTGATTAAATACACTTGTTGGAAACATGATATCAGTAGAAAAACAAACAAACAAGCAAACAAAAAAAGATTTCAAATCTAAAAATAAGCCACATAATATGACCCCGATCGATGAAACAAAAATAAACTCGATTTAAAATATTTGATGTTACCTGAAAAGATATCATCAAATGAAGAAAAATTTTCACAAAATGCACACAAACGCACAATCATACCTTTAGTAATAAAAAAAAACAGAGTTGTGTGGTTTACACTTCTCTTTTTCTCTTCTTTTTACGTCTATATAGCCATCAGACGAGCCAGTCGCCACCAATTCAAAATTGTTTGTATTTTGTAATTGAAAAAAATGCTTGTCACTAAGAAAAGTGTCAATACTTTTTTGGTCTTCTACGGTTATCATTCTATAATGATTGAAAAAAAGATACATGCATATGCATATATGTACATATATATATATATATGTATATATATATATCTTTTCTGATTGAAACCTTGAATATTGTTATGAAATAGTGAACATACGAAGTTGTTTGTCTTCAACACTTTCATGTATTTATCAAGATTTTCACTTACTTGTTCGTACAATCAACTTTCATCTTCTTTTTTTTATTTTGCTCGTTTGGTGATTATGACGCAAACTGGAATATCCTACTTTTTTCCGTGCTACTAATAGAAAGATAGACATATAGAAAAAACAATTACTAAATTTAACACGAGCAAAGAGAAAATGACGAGTGATGAACAGAAAGAAAAACATATCCTATAATATATTCTTCATTTTTTCAAACTAAACGAGAAATATTTTTTGTTTATACTAAATTCAAAAAGAAGAAATAGATTGACGAATAATATGTACACTTGTCGTTGTACATCTAATTATTCAAAGAAATAAGCGTATTCTTTTCTCTTCTCTCTTTCTTTCTCTCTCTCTCTCTCTCTCTCTCTCTCACACACACACACACACACACACACATCTGCACTTCACTACACATCAGTTATATATATATATGAAATGAGCAACTGAAGGATGCTGGTACACCAACGATGATATGAGAGATGGTTATCTATCATCACCATCATTTTTTCTCTTCTTTTAATGTACAAAGAAAAAACGTATAATAATAAAAAAAAGAAAAAGGTGTAAAAAAAATTGATCATTTTACCAATTACAACATTTGTCTTTTCTTATTTGAATATTAATTAAAATTTTATCCACAACAGAAAAAAAGAAGAATATCGGATAAAAAATCATAACATTTGAACGTATGAAGAGAATATTTCTAGATGAGAGTCACACTGTATGAATGTCCAATTTGATGAATGGTTGATCATTATACGTTGTTGTCTACACCTTATTATTTTCTATATATATTCATAGCTGAGTCTGTTCTTTTTTTTTCGTCGTCTTCATTTGTTGTGTACCATCGAAATAGCTACGGTTGAGTGATCACACAAACTTGCTCGATGAACGTTCGATAGTTGCGGTCATAGGTCCTAATTCAAGTTGAAAAATTAAAAGAAGGAGGAGACATCACTAAAAGAGATAGACAAAGAGCTTTCTCATCGCTTTCTTTTTATGTTTGATATTGATAAGTGTAAAAATCTTCCTCGTTCGATCATAGAATGAATCTGGTTGTTGTTGTTGAATTCTTTAATCATTCATCGAATCACATTTATATAAAAACCATAAAGCGAGAATGTGAACGTGTATACTATTTTGAAAGCTGATAAAATGTGTTAAAATGAGCACATTATAAATACAAAAAGCTTGTACGAACTTGTGATTGAACATTCAAGCCAATAGGTGAAAGAAAACTTTTTGTTGACAGAAAGGTCAAAACATCAACCGTAACTACCAGATGAAAACTTCAGTAGTCAACAGATATTGTACGTAAGTATCTTGAGACTATGAAACAAGCAACTACAACGAAAAATCGTTAAGTTTATGCGTTGAAATTTTTCGAAAGTTTTGTCGATGAGTCGTAGTAACTGTAAGTATTATGACAATTGTCAAGAGAATGATTGTTATCATGAGTAAATTTTTAGCAGTATTTGCATTCGAATAATGCGTACTACAGTTTAATTAATTAAATTTCTCACCTCAACGAGTCATAACCACTCCTACTGATAGTAAATAATATTGCGATAGTTCCAGAAATAGTGAAAATTAATTATATAAAAGCGTTATGTTACATTAATATTTATCTTTATCAAAAGAAATAAGAAGCTTTTTGCTTAAACTGCTAATGTTCGAATTTTTCTTGCAACCACACATCTGGTTTGGAAGGTAGACACCGTTGATTTAATATAAATATTGTTATCTCTAATCCAAATGCATATGTAGTGATTGATGAAATAAAAACAGATTATGCGTTCAAAATGACTACGATTAAACAATTTGACAACCATATGAAAGAGTCTTCACGAAATAAAGTAATTTACTTTTCAAAATCAATGAATTTTTGATTTAATAAAATGATATGATAACAGATTATTTGTTATCAGACGAATATTTTCTTATCACTATGCTATGAATTATTGATTAATCTTCTTCTCATTTCTATTATTAGAATAATTTTCTCAAATATAAATTTGTATTTATTTTTCTTCATAAAATACTAATTAATAAAATGTGTCAATGAATAGCGAAAAAAATTCTGTTAACGAAGCATAAAAATTAATCAAACAGTCTTAATTTTTCAATGGAACGGAATCAGACCCTTGTGAAGGACAATAAAAGTATATAGTATATATTAATCATTTTTTTTTCTTTTAATTAACCCTTTGCAAGTAGTGTTACATATATTGTACCATCTATTTTTTCAGCAGAATAAATTGTTTTATAAAAGATTATTAAACTTTCAAGACCAGTAAAGCCATAGGTTATCTTATTTTTCATTTCATACATATGTTTCATTTACTAGGTTCTGCAGTCTAGATCATTTTCAGATGCTTTCTTTTTTTTCTGCTACTACTGTAAAATGATAATATGATTTATTTCTCTTTTCTTGATATAGTTTTTTTCAAGACTATTCGAAAAGATTCTCAACCTCTATAGATGTTGTATATACACAATTGCTCTTTTTCTCATTAATGGAGTTAAATTATTCTCGACTTTGCAATGCAATCACTTAGCACAGGGTTAGACATTTAAGCCACTACATTGATGAGAGATTGAAATATCTCGATGGTTTTTTCAAAAAATGTCTTCACTCCTAGAAATTTTCAAATGAAAACAAGGAGAAAATGGTGTTAGAAAACATAAAGGAAAGAAACGACACAATTATATCTCTAATAATTGATTCAAGATGTTGAAAATCTTCAAAAGTCTAGTATCAACTTTTAGCTATGGTTTACATTTCTACTCACGATAAATTACCACACTGATATTACCCGGTTTCGATGTCGAAGTCTCTCTATTCTGATGCTGACCCAGATCAAACAGGCACGATCGTCAAAAAATACAGAAAGATAAAAGAATAAACCTCTCTTTCGTATAGGAAAATGTACTACGACCGTATACGATCGTATACCACCGTGTGCCATGGTAAATAGTTGTCGTATGTTCAATTTTATTAAACTGTTTTGAAAGTTAGTATGCATGATTAAATAAGTTGAACAAAGTGGTTGTACTTTCATTTTAGATCATTTCATGGCACCAACGCAATTCACAGAAAGCGTAAATGATTTATTTTATTTTATTTTTTTCTATCGGTTTTATGTGTAATGATTGACATGAATGTAATATAGGAGAAAAAGCATCGTATATTAACTATATTGGGATAAAATACGATTGTTCAATGTCGTATACGGTTAAAATAAGATCGTTTGCGGTCGTGTACGGTTAAAAATACAATCGTTTATGACTATATACGGTCCGTATACAATCTCCGTTTTTCTTCCTATTTCGTCGTATATGGCCACGAAGATATGCGATCGTAATATTAGACTATGTAATACGGTTGTATATAAACTCCGCCTTCATCGACCTGAGTAGATAATAAATCTTCGAAGACTTTCTACTAAATAGAGGCCTAAATAAATATCACCAAAATCTATTCTTTATTTTAATAATGAAATACATTTGCTTGATAAAAGTGTTGTTCAAGTAGAAATATCATCTTAGATAAAGATTTTTTTCGATTAAATAGCATACAAATTACGTTTATTAAATAAAAAAAAGAAAAGAAAAAGAAAACAGATATTTATATTTATGGGTCAGTAGTAATCATTGCATGTAATCTAGCTGATTTATAATCTGTACGTAATTGAACAAATGATTCAATTATATCTCGTGTTAATGATGCCTAATAGAAAAAAAAAACAATGATCAAATAAAAAAAAAAAAAAAATTTTTTTTTTTCGTTGTAATCAATTTCAAATACATACAAGATGTCCTTCTGTAATAACTTGACGAAGATTATCAGGTACAACAACAAGTAAATTAACAAGTGCATGTAAAATAGAAAATAATTGTTCAACAGTTGAACTACGAAATTTTTTTGAACATTTTTTATATTCACTTATATCTTGTAACATCATTAAACCACCTAAATAAAATAAAACAAATGAATAGATTTTGTTTTTCGTTTTTAAAACCTGATATATTATATTCAAATTTAAAAACATGATCTGTTATTAAACGATGAAAACGAAGACCAAATTCATTTAAAATACTTGTTAAATTTTTTCCATCAACTGTTTGTTCAAGACGAACAATTTGATTATCAATTGAGCGTACTACTCGTTTACATATCTATATGAAATTAATAAAACAAATAATCTGAATTCTTGAGAAAAAAAAAAAACGATAATAAAATAAATTTACAGGTGAACATTCCGATATAAAAAGATCACTTTCTGGTTTAAAATCTGATCGTTTTTGTTCATTAAGAATATTACGAATATAACCAATTATACATAATAAAGCTCTTAAAAATAAAATAAAATAATTTTTATCAACAAGAAAAATTTTATTTACTTATCCACACCAATATTAATAAATTCTTCTAATTGACCAAAAACTTTTTCTTTAGTTTGTAGAAGTATTGTTTGCTGTTGAGTACCTCTACAGAGAAAAAAATAATATAAAGTAAAAATGTTTCTGTTTTCTTTTTTAAAGTAATCATTAAACTTCGTACAAAAGTAATGGAGCAATATCCATAACAAAATAACGTTCAATTAATTGTATGCTATTGTTTGTTTGAAGTATAGCATGAAAAAAACGTATATCTGGTTCTTGTTTTGGTTCGGGACCAGGTATAGCTTGTAAACTATATTGTAATTCTGTTTCAATATGTTGACTACCTAATGCATTAAGTAAACGTAAGAAACATTGAAGAATATTTTCTGAAGCTTCTGATCCTTCAGATAACTAGAAGAGAAGAGAAAAGGTACTAATTAAAAAGAAAAACAGAACACAAAAAGATTTTATGTATAAAAATGTTGACATACAGTCGTTATTCGATTCATTGCCGTTTTACAATCATTTAATAGAGCAGCAGCTAGATCAGGTGAAAAACGAGATTCATCAACTTGATCGGTTGTATTTAATAAACGTTGTTGAATTATATCAGTTATACTATATAGAGAAATAAAACAATGGAAAAAAAAAAGATTCAGTAAAATCTCTCTATTGTGAACATTATCGAAGTCATTCAGAAGTGTTCATTTTAAGAGAGTTGCAGCATAGTTTGCTGAGAAATAAAGAAAAAGTTCCAGAAAATCTACTTCTATGTTAGTCATAGATAAAGGCCTAGTTATTTATTCTTTTTTTTTCCATCTATTTTCATTTAGCGATTTGTTTCATAATCATGTTTTAGAAAATTTGAAACAGAGCTGAGTGATATACTCTATTTTTTTTTTGTTAAGTTTTTCTGCTTGTGAAGTAAACTCATGTCGTGATGTCATTCTTTACTTCATACGTTCAGAAGTCGAATCATACATAAAATGTATGTACTCGTGATGCGTACAAAAACAGATGATAGAAAAGATAAAACAGTCAAAAAAAACAACAACATGTTCTTATCAGGGAGGTTATAATAGCAAAAGGGATCGCAAAAAAAAGTATTCACAAGAGAGAGGGATATTTACAGCAAAAATCACTTCGTTGGACCCAAAACCATTCATAATTAGGAGGTACTCATTAGTAGAGATTTTACTATAAATATATATAATTGTTTGTATTGCAGTTCGTTAAAGAATAGAAAAGCCTTGTAAAAAAATGATTTGTATTAATTATGATCTCGATTTGATAAACTTTTATTCTGTGTTTTATTTTCCATATATATATTCAACTTCAACATTTGTTTAGATTGTATTTCAACTAGAAACCTAATTAAGTCTAATGATAATCTATCGAGAATATGACTACAATGAATTCATATTAGAAAAATGATTTAAAAGTTTAGTTTTGATCAACATGAAACGAACTTATCGAATTCAATTCTATTCAATATAAGTTTAGCAAAATTTGGTAATTATTCTCACGAGGAAAATACTTGAACTGATAAATGCCCTTTGAGCTTACATTGAATATACGAGAATGTTTTGGTAAAAATAACAAAAGCCTAATAGAATTCGTTTGCATGGGTCTTAGCAACCAAACTATAGTCATTTTACGGAATTTTCGACCAAGCTTCATGTTTATACTGCAACATTAACAAAAAATCGTATTTCGTCATGAAATTTTACTCATAGATAAGTCGAATGACCAATAAAACATCTCGAAAGCTTCAACCGAAAAGAATGTTTCTTTGTCGATATATTGAATTTTCAAAACAAAAAAATAGTCGTTTGTCATAAGCCTGTTACGAAAACCGAATTTATTTGAAAATTCCATATCTGAACAAAAAACTATTCTTTTCGGCTGAAACTTTCAGCATACTATACGAGTCATTCAAACTATATTTGAATGAAATTTCACGCTAAAATTTGATTTTTCTACATATACCTAAAACTGAATCAAAGGATGTATGAGAACGAACACTTTTAAGCTTTCTCTGCTCTCTACGAGACCTCCTCGTGGCTCCAATATAAGTTCAAACAACAGGTATCAGTTGGACTGGTTTCTTCTTCAGTAATCTTTGATTTACTAATGATGCAATACAATAACAGTTCTATTTGATTAGACAATAAATATTTCTTTACCTTAATCCAGTAGGTTTCATTCTTCGTTGACCACCGGTTGATTCAACTCTTTCAAGATGAACTTGAAATTTTTCCTCCAAACAATTAATTTCGTATCTAATATTTAGAAAAATCAAATTTCATATAGAAAATTATTAATTGACTTACTTGCTATAAGTTTTAAGATAACTTTTAAAAACATGTTGATTAAGTTTATGTAAAAAAGCAGGATCATCACTGATTTTTTGTGTTTGTAAATCATTTGATAATTTTGTTGCTCTTTATTTATTTAAGAGAGTAATTTTAATAAATTTCATATTTTATTTGACTTACTTTTTACTCAAGGTATATAAAGTTTGAAGATATTTTTCCATATTATCTAAATCTGGATTACGTACATATACATCGAGTTGATCACGAACATAAGGCTAAGGAAAAATGAACGAAATAGATCAAATTATTTTCAATATATATTATAGAAAATAAGCGAAATCTTACGGCTAGTTTTTCTGTATACACTGTAATAATCAATCGTTCTATTACTTTTTCAGGTTGATCAAATAATTCATTAATTAGTTCAGAAACTTTAGTAAATAATTGTGGAATGGAATTAAATATATCAATATTTGGATTATCAAAATAACCCTAGAAAAGAAAAAGAATAATGTTCACATTTATATTAAAATAGAAAATCAATATGTGAATTTTCGAAAGCTATTTTTAACTTTGTCTTGTTAAGTTTAAAAAAGATGTCTAAGGCAAAGTTTTATTTTGTCAAATTCTAAAAGTTTGCTGAAGATAACTCATTCATAAATATAAGCTCTTCTTCCATTGAAGACTTCACCTGATCAAATAGTTTTAATATTCATTGATAATATATGTTCAATGAATTTATGAGAGGTTTTTCATCGCCAACTGATATCATATATTGGCTTTATTATCGTAGTTTGATACTATTATAGTAGAACAAAAGAAAATATTTTATCGTTTAAATCAGCGATAATATCAATGCTGAAAGAATCATAGATTCAAGATTTCTCTCATTAAAGTCGACTCATGACCAGAGTCTGTCGCGTTCGAATTTTTTGTATCTGAACCCGATAAATTCGATACTTTCACTACTCGGATATAGATCTGATAGTATTTCACTTAAATTCTTTGTGCTTTGGAATTCAAACCTGTTGGATATGGATCTACATTGGGCTTCAGTATAACGGGTTATCGGAAAGTAATTTGACAAGACGCTCGTTCATTTTTTTTCAGCTTCTTAAAAAGGAACTTGCAGAAACTTGAAAGCATCGGGTTAGTAACAGAATTTTGTGTTTTTACTGAATACGACTTCAGCTTTAAGAGTAATGAACCGATGTTTTCAAGGTTAGTAGATTGAGTTTAGATGAAGTTCAGCGTGCTTAAACTGATCTAAAGTAGTAGTGAAAATTGTTTCAAATACACCGAATGAAAGAGTAAACATTTCTCTATAGAATAATAAACCAATGATTAGTTTGCTTCAAGTCATTTGTCAACAAAGAGTATTTTAGTAAGTTACACCGTGTCAATTTCGACAGCTTTTTCAATTTTTATAGAAATTGAGATTTCAAAACTGAGCTCAGCTTTTCTTGAAGAAGGTTTATCATATTAGAATTAGTATTTATTAATGCTAATACTAATATCGTAAGCATTAGTATTGAAATTAATCTTAATACTTTGCTATTATTTGCATTCGAATTAGTGAATACCAAGCTGTTAGCATTAAATGAGCATTATTTTAATTCTAATACATAAATTATCGACGACTAGATCTTGAACGCGCTAAGCTCAAAAGCTCTCAAAACAGACCAATTTTGTTCTGTTTTGGAAACGGTATTTCGAGGGTATGGTAAATTTCTATTCCTAGAAAATTCAAATTTCTACATCTCATAATCCAATGAATAATACCCTCATTGACATTCTTATTTCAATTATATCCTTCTTTACCCCTCTATAATTGTAAGTTAGGTAGCGTTTTATTTTAAATATATTTTATCAGTGTAAGATAATGTATAATAACTACATTATAACGCTAACCATTAATGCTAATATTCAAGTTACTTACTGAAGCATTTGAGAATAGTTTACAGTAACGGAATAAATTTCGGAAATCAACCCAACCCCAAGGATATACATTTCATTTCTATATACTATTTATATTGAAATCAATTTCCTATGTTTATTGCTCAAAGCAGTGAACTAAAATTTCATGAAATAGGAATCTTACCAAGTCATGCAGGTAATATAAATGTTAGAATTACAAATAATCTGGATTTAATGCGGATAGCTTGACATTAATTAATTCTAATACAAATCATATCAAAGCATTAAGGTTAATTTTAATACTAATACTGAAGGCATTAGCATTATCATAATATTAATGCTAATCTGACACTTCTATTTCTGAATGATTGTTTTTAAAACTCTTGATTCTTATATCACTTTAAAGAAAAAAATCTCGCCTTTAATTCAATGAAAAAAAAGTTGGTAATTTCACATCTTTAACTAACAGGTTGATTCATAACTGCTAAACCGTAAGTTATAGAGAAATGTTGAGCATATATATTCAAAAACAATAGAAAATCAATGTTTTCAAAGTTCAACAGACTGCAAAAATGAACAAACATATTATCAAATTATGTTCCGATAACCCGTTAGTATTAATAATGATAGTTAGATTTAGATCAAAGATTACGAACAAATATCGTTCGTGTTTTTGTTTTAAAACAAAACAAAAAGGATTAAAAAAAATCTATGAAATAAGTATCGAATATTTCTTTTGATTCAGATGTTATTCTTTTCAGTATACATTGACATACTTTTAAACAATCAGTAATAAAATTTTGAATACAATCGTTATGACCCTAAATTTACAAAAAAGTAATTATTAAATCTTTCTTATTTTTTAGTTATAAAATTTACTTTAAATTTTGATAATAATTTAATATATTTTTTCATAGCTTTTTTATCATTTCGAACTTGTGCACGAGAAAATTCTAATAATAATTCTTCTTCAATAGCTAAATAACGTTCTTTAACTTTCGTTTTTGCATCAAGAAATCTTATTTAACAAAAAATAAAAACCGTTTTTTTTTTTTGTTTTTTTATTCTTAAATTTTTTACTTTGGTTCATCAGGTAATTCTTGTAAAACATTATATAATGGATGAATAATATGTGCTGCTTGTTCAAGTTTTGATGCATCTTGAAACATTAAACTAACATCATCATTTGCATCAAGAAAACGTTCAAGATATTTTGCTGTTGTTCTTGCATCAATTAATTGTTGACGTGGATTACTTTTACTTTCAAGTTGATGACCTATTTGAATGACTTTTGTTGATATAACACTTATACGCATTTCAAGTTCTTGTTGACCAGTATATGTCGACTTTAAATAAACAAAAAACAATTTGTTTTCTTTTGTTTTAACCTTTTTATCTTTCATAATGGTTCTAGAAGAGCTACTCATAATAATTGATCTTAGAAATAGAATATTAACCTTTCGAATATGCTAATGATGTTGTCAGATCTCTTAGGTATCGTATTCTTCGCATAGGATGAGTTTTGTTACGTGAGTAACCTTGCGATAGACAAGAAGGATTGAACGACATGAAAAGTTCCGAGACTTTTTTTCTCTCAGGATAATATTGAATAGACAAAAGCGGCTTATATTTCATAGTATTGAAGTAATAGAAAAAAGAAGAAGTGAATGCATAAAAACTTATTTTCAAACAATACTTATGTTTTTGATACATATTGTCAAATAATCAATTATTCATTTTTCAGGTATTATATAACCACTGACAACATGTTATTCATATTAAATTTGTTTAAATTTCTCATGTGATGAGATTTATGATATACGAACTAATTTTAATCTAGATTATTTTTCATCTGCATAATAGAAGCAAAATGGTTCGGTTTTGCGTCTTATTGTCTATAATTCGCTAAGCTATCGTAGAATTTTAGAAATCTAAATTAATCACTAGTAGGTCTTTTCATCAATCTAGATTATATAGCATGTCTTCAAGATGTATGCTGTCTGAACGTAGAGAATATTTTGCTTGAATTTCTCGGAAATTATTGACTTTAAAAGTTTAATATTTCATAGACAGAGCAATGAAATGAAGAATTATGCATTTTTATCAATCAATAGTTCATAAAGTTTATTCAAAACATATTTTTGAATTTTCAGAATTTCATATACTATTTAGTTTTTATAATCGCTCTCGAAATAGATATTTGAATGATCAGTGTGGAAGAAGTAAAAGATTAAATAAAACCAAAGAAACCTACTTGATATAATTCTTCAAGTTGTGCAACACTATTTGCCCATGTATTTCGTTCTTTTTCACATGCTTCTTCGAGTTGTTTTATATTTTGTTCAGTTTGAACTTGATAATCCTATATTAAAGAAAAAAAAGTTATTCAATAAAAACAAAACACAATGGTTTATAGTATTTACTTGTAAAATTGACATAGCTTGACGAAATTTACTTTCTAATAAATTAGGATCAAAATTTTCATTAACAACATTTCCATCAGTTGATTTATAAGCGATATTTTCAATTAAATTATCCACATCAAAAACTGTCTAATATATCATTAATATAAAAAAAAAGAACAGAACAAGAAAATCTATGTATACATATCAAAATTTAATTGATTTCTCTTACTGAATCTAAGTTGGCCAAAACTAATTCTTCCATTGTAAAAAAAAAAAAAAAAAGACTTTCTAGAAAAGAAAAACAAAGGATTCAAAAGATGTTTTGCCTAGTGAAAAGAATGGTTTCTTTTTTGTTTTCATTTTAATAATAATATAAATATCACGGCACACATCATTCTACTTGATTAATTTCAATGCGAATAAGTCCGGATAGATATGCATAGGCACACATTGTTAATACACCAACAGCAATTACTGCTATTTTATCTCGAAGACGATCTTCATTTGATGTTGTGGATATTGTTGTTGATACAGAATTAGTTGTATCATTATCTTTTGCTAAAAAAGAAGAAGTTTAGTGAATTCGAATAAAATGCAAAGTTTTTAAGAGAACACAATGTACCTAAATCACTAAGATATATTGTTAATATTCGATCAACAAAATCACGAATATTTTTTCTACTTGAAGCATAACGTGCAAGTGCACTATTCGAGGCAGGACCATGAATTAATGGAGCCAAATAACCAAAAACAAACGCATCAATACTTGTTGGACTAAGACAAATACAAGAATAATGATTAATAATTAACTAAATTGAAATTATGATTATATTCAATCCATAGGCAGTGGAGCTATGAGCCTTGAATAGACTCGGTTCAATGTAAAAATTTTCTATTATTGTTTCATTTTCATTTTCTTCTGATAGATGATATTTTAGTACAAGGTCATTACACATATTATCTACTACCAACTTGTGTCCAGTATGTATAGGCAGTGGAGCGACAAGGCTGAAATAGGCGAAAGTCTATCCTATAGTCACGCTTGATAGACTGAAACACTTTTCTCCTTCCATCAGACTGATAGATTTGAGCAGCGCACAATATTTTTTTGTAAAAACGCTTATATTTTTCATCATCTTCGGTGTCTAATAATAACATTTTCTTAATGAATCAGACTTAGAAAACGTTGTTGAGACAACATTGAGCTTTACACGCGTAAATATTGGATCATATATAATCAATGATTTGAATTTGAGTTCAATAAAAGAAATGTTAACTGTATTTCATCTATGTAGCATTCAAACGCTCGTCTTCTCTCATTTTTAATTTTTAGATGAAGGTCTTATAAATATATTTTCAAAGCACACAATAACTAACAAAAACTAAAAGTTAAACTTAAAATTCGATTGGTGTTTTTTTTGTTTATTGTACATAATTACTAGAATTTATATCAAAAATATGATATAAAATATGGATATATTTAATATTCTAAGAATTTATCTACTGAAGAACAATCCGAAATGTGTCAACATAAATATTTACCTAGCACCAAATAAAAATGGTTTAGTTCCGAGTAGAATAGTTAAATGATCTAAAACTTTTTTGCCTTTTTCAAATATCTAAAATAAAGAGAAAAACAGTATAAATTATTAAGAATAAAAATTTTTCATACAGTTTTTCGAGTTTGATCAAAATTATTATCACCATAAATAATACTAAATTGATTTTTAATTTTTTCTGTTTTTTGTTTACCATAAAAGAAAGCAAGTGGAAAACCACCAAGTGATCGAGCATAAATATTTATAATCGAACTTCGATATGTATTATCAAGCCAAAATGTATCAAGCTATAGAGAAAGAAAAATACAGTTTTGTATTTTTTCTTTTTTCAAACAAAAACAAAATAATAAATTCATATAACATACAACAGCTGGTACAAATGCTGATTTTACAAGTGCATGTAATGCAAGTAAATCAGCAATATTAGCATGAAATTGTTCATCAATATCAATATGCTAAATGATAAAAAAAAAAAAATTCTATTTGTGAAATATATTCTTCGAAAATACTTACCGATCTTTTACAATGATCAACAATAGCTTCATAACCTGCTGCTAGATGTATATTATCATTATCACTGAGTAGAAGTGGTAAACGTTCTTTTTTATATTGTTAATAACAAAATAAAAATAATAAAATCAATATCATTATGATTATTAGTTTCAAAAAACTAATTACCTTTATAAAACATGAATCGACCAAGATTTGTTTTAATCGGAACATTCAATCGAGAGAAAGCAAAATGTGCCTAATAGAAAAACTAATGAAATGACAAAATAAAATTTTCTATTCTTACAAGAATACTAAGACATTCAGGATCAAAAGAAGGTAATGCACCATAGGCTGGCCAAATACATAACGATGTAAATGCTAGTTTCTAGATAATAAAATCAATCAATCAAGAAAATAGTTATATATTAAACTATACTGGTTCAGTTGTAGACGAGGACGACATTGAATACAAAACAATTAGTGATAAGAAAAAGGGTACACAATAATCCAGATGAAATCATTTTTTTTTTGACATTATTTTAACAATTGGTGGACGTAGTGAAGAAATCAGAAGCAAGACTATGTATTGATTAGTGACCTCTGTAGACATTCGGTTTTTTTTGTTGTTTTGATAAGTTATAAATAAAAAGAAATTTTTATTTAATCAAAATAAAAATCAAGTTTCATATAAATTATAATATATTTTAAAATCTTTAAATTTATATTTCGTTATTTTTAGATAGAATGAATTTGATGTTGATAGTTAATCTTCTTATAGTAAAAGCATGGTTTTCTTTCATATATGCTTAACTTTTTGATCCTGTTTATTCTAGTGTCAAACTTGTTCTGAAGATAATCATGGACATTAAAAATATTCAATAGATATCGAAATTAATTCAATTTTTATGATTAAAATAGCTGTTTTCTTTTTGTTTGATGTCGTTTTGCATATCCTTATCACAAAAAAAAAGAAATGTGTGTGCGTCTTCTCTGAAGACACTCTCTAGAGGTTCTTTTATCTAAATTGTTCGCATTTTTTTACTCTATCATATACTAAATGCAATATAAATCGTAGGTAGGTTAGTTTATTAAGACCTGTATAGTAATCTTGATTCACTGTTTTTGAATATTTTCTATAATAGAATAATCTATATCAAATAAGTTGTTAAGATTACGCCGCATTATCAAAGATTGACATCTCATATAAAAGCATTATATAGGAAAATAAGTAATTATGTTAATATCACGCCATTATCGATGATTCGTTGTTTCTTTTCCTCTGTTATCATTATTGACCTATCTCTTGAGAAAGAATTTAATTTATCAATAAAAAACCTTGACAATATCTAGTAGTCACATAAGAGTTCAAGATTGAGAGATGTATAGATAAAATTTTTCTAGAGATATTTATTGACTTGGCCACTACTCAGACAAAAATAATGAACGAATCACTTGAAAAAAACAGAATACGTGAGTTATTCCTTTGTTTTCTATGCGAAATAGATACTAGTACAATCATATTTTCGATTAAGGATGTTAGAAAATCGTAAAGAAACAAAGCTAAGTGTATCATTTTTTTTTTATCATACTATGTAATAATTTGAATATGAAAAATATTGTAACTATGATCTAATCATTGTAGATATAATATATTTTTTTTAGAAACTTTTCAGCAACTCGTTAAAGTGATCTTTGATTAAGAATCTTAGGTTCAATACTGAATAGAGATAGAAAATGAATATCTTTTTTGGAATTTTCTTTATCTTTTTACATTTCATAAATATTTCGATATCAACAACACCTAATATCCTAATTTTTCTTGTCGATGATTTGGGATATGGAGATTTAGGGTGTTATGGAAATTCAACAATTAACTCTCCTCATATTGATTCATTGACACGTGATGGTGCAAGATATACACAAATGTATTCAGCAGCTTCAATATGTACACCATCTCGTGCTGGATTCCTTACTGGAAGATATCCTGTACGTTTAGGACTAACATCAAATGCTAATGAATTTCGTACATTTAATTCTCCGGCTCAACCAGGTGGTTTGCCACATGATGAAACGACCATGGCTGAAATTGCTCAGCAATTAGGCTATCGAACTGGTATAGTTGGAAAATGGCATTTAGGTTTGGGACGTGATGGTGAACATTTACCTACTCGTCATGGTTTTCATACGTTCTTTGGTATGCCTGTGACCAATGTACAGACATGTGGAAATAAGAAAGTATATAATTTAATTGGTGGACATGGTGAAGTTCTTGATCGTTCATTTTTTTCATATTGGATTACTTTCGGACATAAGGTAAACAATGATTTAGATTATTCTTTTAATCAATTCTTCAAAAGTAGTTATATAGAGTATCCAATGATAAACATAGATAATTCTACTTTTTGATTATTATTTTCTTTGATATTTGTTCTAAATATTTTAATTTTGTTCAAGGTTTGGTTAACAATAATCTTTATTGTATGTGTGACATGGTTGTTTTATTCTCACAAGTTGGCTCTCATAATATTAGGTTTAGGTGCCATTGGTTTCTTTGGTGGTATGTGGTATACACTTAGTTTTACTCTTCTTAGTCGTTCCTCATGTTTATTATATCGAAATGAAACAATCATCGAACAACCAGTTCATTTACAGGATTTGACTCTACGTAATACAAATGAAGCAATTAAATTTATGGAAGAAACTATTCAAATTCATAAAAAACCTTTTTTTCTCTATATGTCTTATGTTAAAGTGCATACTGCTTTATTTACTCTTCCAGAAAATGCTGGACGTAGTCGCCATGGTGCCTATGGTGATAACATTGAAGAACTTGATTGGAGTGTTGGACAAATTATTCAAGTATTAAAGACTCTTGACATTGAAAATGATACTTTAGTTTTATTTTCGTCCGATAATGGACCTTTTCTTGAGCGTGGAATTGAAGCTGGATTTTGTGGTCGTGCTCTATCAACTTCTGGTAAACTTAGTGAACCATTACGAGGTGCAAAAGGACAAACATGGGAGTGTGGTATTCGTGTTCCTGGTATTATCCGTTGGCCAGGACATGTAGTTGCAAGTCAAACAGTTGAAAGTGTATCTTCTTTATTAGATTTTTATCCATCACTGTTAGAATTATGGAATGTTCAATCGATGCAAGATCGTCCTCTCGATGGTGTTAGCTTGTGGCCAATATTAAAATTAAATCCTGAAA